CAATCAACATACCTCCTATCAACGATAATAGAACTGCAGTTGGGAAATGATCGGACATTTTGAAACGCGTGTTTCAACGTTGCTATCGCGCCACGAACTGAAAAGAATCGCTAATGCGCAGGTAAACTGAAACTGATGCAAATTTTATGAAGCCTAACTGTCGATGCACGCATCGCAACATATTTCAGCGAGTAGAGCGGCCTTTTAATATCCTTAAAACGAGATTCCACGGCCTATTTCTATGCGTGAAAATCGTTCTAATACCGATCCTCGCGAGCCATCGTTATTCAATTCGTCGAATTCCACGAAGTTAACTATGCGAAAAGATCAGCAGAGGGAGGAAAGTACGGGCAACAAGTGGCAGCGGCATTGTTAACCGCGGCGATTATCAAGAAACCGCGTGTTTCACCGAGATATCGTGTCCTGGCGGCGTGCGTCCCGTGATAACGTGCATGCACACCATGCCAACTTCCTGAGACGATCCGATACGTCATCGGGCGACAAATTCCAACCACGAGTATGCGCGCGTGTGTGAACGAAGCTGAAACACACAACTCCTAAAACTCTGGTACTTGCGTCCACGACGCGTTGCGACGTATGGACCAATTATCGTAGACATGTTGATTAGCCGGTTGGCTACTCTCTTCGAGCCCACTGGCAGATAAAACGGCCGATTACGCTGAATCGTTTATCGTTTCGCTGCGTTCGCTCTAAGAGCTTCGTTACCGTGGCTTTTCCACGAGAAAACTCGCCAGGCTATCGAATATTAAACGGTTCGCCAATTAGCAGCCACAAAGGGACGCCGTGCTCGAGATAAGAGCCACAGAATGACCGGCATTACGAACTTAATTATACGCATGTGTACCGTGAGAAATCATCGTTTGAACGTATCGATAGGCGAACAGGCCTGATACGAATTTATTGGCGCACGATCGATATTTTGTAGATTTTCAAATGGAAGATATCTGGTGTGTTATATATTTTTCGTAGAAAATTCCTATATCGAAATAAATAATCATTTTTTCCATTATAAAGCAGTAATTTTATTTATCTCGATATAAATTATTATTCTTAATGCAAGTTTTTGTTTTCCTGCCGCGTATGTAGTTGGCTAGTTTGTATAGTTTGCAATGGAGATCTAAATTTGGACAGGATCGATAAGCAATAGAACGACGGGTCGATCGATCCAGAATTGGTTCGAACGATCGATTTTATTGACCGACTTTGACGCAGTCGAACGGAGATTATTAATAGAAAGCTGCTCGACGAATGATATATTGTTCTATGATTTCATACGCAGGTATGTCGCTCGTGGCGAAAATCTCCCGTCACTCGTTTTTATTCCAGATTCTGTCCAACTCCTTTCCTCCTTCCTTCGTATAGTTTCTAGTTTCGTCAAACTGAAAATCACACGAGTACTTGTATCAAAATAAATTCTAGCCAGCGCTATTGTACTTTTATATTTCCATTTTATCTTCCGTCGTAACGAGTGTCTAAAACGTCCAAAAATTGTATCGTTAAACGTCTATGCGATACATTCTTTCTACAGTTTTGTTTTATTTCCTTGTAAGCGAATACTAAAAATTTACGACGATAATTTTCTTGCTGCGAAAAGCAGCACCGAGTCGAAAACGATTCGAAAGAATGTGAGAGGGTTAAACAAGGGCTACCAGTTTCTCGAAATGATCGATCGAAATGTGCATTGGTATCACGGCAATTGGTATCGAAACGGACCATTACTTTCTCATTTCGCGGCGTTATTAATTCACGAGGTCGCCGCCGGTTTTCGTCTCGACTGGCTGTAATCTACCACAGGGAAATTACACGCGGAATATTTTTCAAAGTCCCTCTCCGCCGGTTGCACTCCGTGAATCACGATAAAACAACGATACGTACGTACAGGCCCCGTTTCTTTCTCCCTTCTTTTTTGCCACAGTTCTCGTTATCCGCGACCGATCGCACGCGTTCGTGATCGAAACGAGATCACGACCAATCGGATCGTTCGCCACGACGCAAATTGCCTCGACCGAAACCGCAATTAGCGCAAAATGTTTCGTGTACTGTTAAACGAACAACTGACTGTAATATTGTTAGGCGGAGAAACGAATTTTTATTAACGACTCAACGATTGTTTTATCGGTGAAAGGACAAATAGGGATAAAATGACTTACGAATCGACGAATATTTTTATATAATGAATCACTTGCGATATTTAAAAAGAAAGAAAACAACGTATATTTTCAGACGAATGTAGCTACGCGTTTCTCTGTATTTGAGATAATAGGAAATTCCTGTTTCAGCGACCGATTCGAAAATATAATTTATAGATGCATTCGTCAAGATCAGTTAAGAAGTTGATTATTTTCTATTTCTTTGAACATCTGGTGTTAAGTTTCAAATTGTTCGTAATTATACGAAATCGTCATGCCTCTGCACATGGAAATATTTATTCGTAACGATATTCATCGTAGCTTTGAAATCATCTCGGATCGAAAATGTTAATGAAACAAAACTAATTGCAGATGAATTCTGTTCATATCTCGACGATAATCGATATCTGTCCAAATCCTCTCAGGAAATCCACACGAAAATGAAGTAAATAAATGAGAGATTAGATGCGAGATTTGATTTCGCTTCGTTTGGAAACGTAGAAAAGCCCGAACTCGATCTGCTATAAACGAAGATACGAATAGATAAAAATACGTGACTCGTGTGACTCGGTACAACTTCAAAGGCGAGTCGATGGAAAGGAGGAGCGAGATCCACTCGAATCCGTCTTCGGTTCTCGGTGATATCTACATGAACAAAACGGATCAAGCCATTCGCTGGAACCGGTTGCCAGGAAGCAGCAGCATCGCCGGATAGCTTCTTCGCTCGAGATATCCCCTACTTAGAGGCGAAGCAGCCTCGACTTGCGTTCGCCAACGAGCACGCGTGTACAACGGGTGTAATCCACCCGTGAGATTTATCATTAAGCCGCGCGTTTCAGTAGATGTACATCGAGTACGAGTTTCGAGTAGAAGATAACCGTGTACGCATCGCTATTGCGCTTAAATGCAACGTAAAAAGTATTATAATTCGATCTCGGTTGCATCGTTTTTGTCGATAATTCTTTCAGAGACATAAGATTAACGTTAACCTTAGCAGGCTCGGTCACAAAGACCGGTTTCGATATTTAATTAAAAATTGTACATTCCTTGTTATTTCCTACGATCGTCCAACTTTATGTAAATTCTTCTGTTATCCGATTAATCAATTTCTCGATATTTCTTGATAGACAAATTTACATAAAGTTGGACGAACAAAAGAAGTAACGACGAACGCGTAGTTTTAAATTAAATATCGAAACCGGTCATTTGTCCGGCCGGGCCTGGTAAGGTTGGTGTTAAAGAGGTGATTTATATGGCAGATCGATATTATCGATTTAGGATCAGAATTGTACTTTTCAAGCAGTTGAGAAGTGCTAATATATTACGTTGCTGGATGTTAACGCCGGATAACGTTTGGTCCAAGAAGCACTGCGAAAGATATAAAACGCAATGCCTTAAACATTGGCATTAAAATTCCAATTACGTATCTATCTTGTTTCGCGTTAATCAAAATCTTTTCGGATAGACGTAAGTGAAAAATAAAAGACAATTATCTTTTCCCGATCTCAATAAATCTATCTCCGAAGAGATTAATGAACGTGTACGATGCAAACTCAACGAGTCAGTTTCTAATCAAAGAGTAAAACGCTAAATTACATATTTAATTAAACACTCTGATAGCAAAATCGTTGCCTGAAGTGCTCGACTTCGTGCCCGAGATTAAATTTTGTATCGAGTTTCTGTGACGAAACGTGAAGAGATCTTGTTAATTGGAAGCCGCTATTTCCCTAATATCTAGTTGCAGAAGAGAAATGGCCCGTGCTCGCAGAGCAAGAGGAAGCGTGTCAGGGTCAAGGGTCGGCCACTTCTGGAACAAGACTCCCTTCCCCACGAAAGAGAGTCCCTCCAACTGCAGGAAGTGCATATGCGACCGGGACGCAGGTTGCACTGCTACGGTCTCCACATCTGTTACAATCTGTCCGAGCCTAAGTCACGTTCGCGCGCCTAACTATTCGTCACGTTAATCCGTCGCGAGTCTGAATGATTACGAGACGACTGGTCTGACTGTCAGGGTTAACTTTCAACGGGGAGAAGCGTGCCACGGAGCTTTACTGTGAATCGACGCGTCTTGGTTCGAGTTTCTTCATTCATAAATTTGGTAATCGCGTGATTCTTGAATTCATCGTTTTTAAATCGTAGATAAATACGTACAATTGAACGTAGCAAAGTACATTTTTATTTCTACGTGCGCAGTTTAAAGATAATCTATAGATATTCAGGTTTATCGACACCTAGATACTGTCGCGCGATAATTTGTCAAGCAAAATTTCGAAAATCTCATTAACGATATTAGTTCAACCGACTTTACTGTTAATCAACGAATCCAACGAATTGCATTCTTCACTTTGAAATTGTAGATAAAACGTACGTAGAAAATAAGAAAAACTAACTAGGTTTCCTCGCACAATAATTTGCCAAATAACAGTTTGTACAATTTCGTCAAGGAAACTACATGAACAAAGTATCGCGTGGTATTGCGTCGACAGCATAACAAGAAATATCGATCATCGACGACATTTCCAAAAGAAAATGCAATATTACGTTACAAAGATACATAGTACATTAATAACATCAGTGCATCGTATGTACTACATGAACCAAAATAGAAATACTATATACATAAAAATGACAAAATCCCCAAAGTAAAACATAGTACACTACGTCCCAAAAATCCTGAAAAAAAAATACTCCGTATGATAAAAAAACCGTAGTACTACCTCGGTACGTAATGGTAGGAAAAGAAGGTAAAAAATATCTTTCATAACCGCAGGAATGGAAAAGAAGCCATAAACGCGAGAAGTTGCACGCTGAAAGAAGGACGTGGACGGTCGCGTTTGCTCGGTTCCATACCTCTGGGCCTGGCGAAGGACTTCATGGCCTTGATTCCCATTCCGGCATAAGCGTCGCCGCCGTAGTCAACGTACATGAGTGCTGTCCTCCCGTGCTCACTGTACATACACGAATTCCCGGATCACTGTCATTCACTTTGCGTCTTTTGTATTTCCCTGTGGCGTGTATCGCGCGCGAACGCGCCTCTATTACATCACTTGGATGGAAAGTAACACAACAAGTAGGGGGTTGAACTGAACTCGTCTCGGTCGTGGTACGATCGTCGGTTCCATCGAGGCAAACGTTCGCTGCTCGTCGATCGAACGATCGAACTTCGATCGGTCACGGCATCGCGAACAATAATTGCGAAAAGGGAGTCGATGGCGGAATCGAAAGTTCTCTTTTAGCCCATGCTAGATCCTCAAGGTGTCGGCGGTTCGAGTGGTCGATGACGCGAGCTGTCAATGGAGCATCAGTGGTCTGACAGAAGCGGAGCTTGCCGTTACGAACTTCTCTTACACTATTTTACACACTATAACGAAATGCTGGTTCGCGAATGAAAACTTTCATCGAATTTTCAAACAACGATCAACGTTTAAAAATGATCGTTCTCGAGTATCGTCTGGTGCTGTGTGACGCAGCAGAGTCGAAAGAAAGTCTTCACGATCGGAAAATCTTCGACTTGCTGTCAACTTTAGACGTTATCGAACATTGTCGATAAGCAAAGGCACGGTTTCGAGAAGCACGAGACCGCGAGCCATGGCAGGTCTCTCTGTAAAGACGGCAGGTGAGCAGCTCGGCGAAGAAACTGGTCGAACTCGGCTACGACTGGCAGGAACGACGAAGAGAAACACACGAGGCGACTCCTCGCGTCTTGCAAGCCGGTCCGCGCGTAGTGTCCAGCATGTGTTTGCTATCAATTCATAACCGCGACCCACCGGGCTATTTCCGAATACCTGCTTGCGCAACCATGACTGGTGAAAGAAGAGGGGGGACACCGGAGCGGAAGCAGAGGAGGCTCGACCGCGGGGACCTGGCTCCGAAAATACGCGAGGAGAGCTTCCAGTTCGCGACGTCCTCGCGAGCCGTGCCACGATTTTCCGATCCTTGGAATCGGGCCGTAGCTCGTTTCGATCCGCTCTCTCACTGGCGCCTTGCCGATCGTGCGCACACACGTGGAACTCGACGAAGACACACAAACGAACGAAACGACAAACGACGATATACGTATGGCAACATAGAAGAACACCACTGTGATCGGATATAATACGAGAGTCCCTCGAGAGTGAAGATATTTTTCGGATGATCTAGATGGAAGATCGGGCGCGATCTTGGTGGTGGAAGAGCGGTTCGTTGGTTCGTCAGGCCGAAGCGCCACCGTCGAGCACGTACGACCGCGTTCCGCAGGTAAGTGCGTACGCAAGGAGAGAGAGACGCAGGGCAGGAACCCAGAAGAAGAAGAGGTAGCGTAGAAGAGAGAGGAGGTAGAGGAAGAAGTTCGAGCGAGCGAGCCAGCTGGACGAAGAGGACATGGAAGAAGAGGTGGAGGAGAATGAGGAGAAGGAGGAAAAGGAGGAGGATAGAATCGCGTATGGTGGAGGGAAGAACAGAAGAGGCGAAGAGACACGGTCGTGAGGGCAGAGAGGGGATCGAGAGAGTTTATTCGAGGCAACGGGCCGTGGGGGACGTGGCGGCGGAGCCGACGGCGG